ATTTAGGGCCTTATAGTTCAATTATGATGTGTGATAAATTTGAATGTAAAGTAATACCATCTAGAGCTACTAGTCTACCATTGTTTGAACCTCAGTTGGATTTTAGCCGTTGGTTGATTCCCAGTGTTAAGAGAAACTTATATTGGCTATTTGAATCATCTTGTATTGTTATATGTTTTTTTCTGGGGGAAACCCTTAGTAAAAATATTGCTTGTCTTTGTGACATTTTTGGTTATGCTATTTAAACAAAAATAAAATAAAAGAACTTTATGAGAGATACCTTCAGATGTTGCTGCTATTTTTTTGGGGGAAAAAAATAATTCATTCAAATTTGTTATTCAAATCTTGATCCATTAACAAATGCACGCTTGAAATTACTTCCTCTGAATGAAGATGGTGTGAAGACCATTATGGTGTTCAAATTCAAATACCATCAAATTTAAATTACCATTTAAAATACTAAATTGTTTCCTGCAAATTTATATATTGCCCTTATAAAGTTTTCGAAATGTCTAAGTCAGTGTTTATTTACACGAAATGTTTTTTATTATAATGACAGACTTTGGTCCCAATTTTTTCTTTAAAAGTTTATTTTCTTTGTTGAAATGAATGCATTAAATCAGATTAAAATTGAGTAATTCAGCACCACTTTTTTTTTCTTTTACCCATAATGGGATTCAGAAGTTTAACTTGGCAGATGAAATGTGCTGGAATTTCGGGTGCATGGGTGAGAAATTGAATACCTAGAGAATATGAGGTGTGACCAGAGGTGTATTTGTGGTTGCCTTTGACAAACGAGAAAGACGTTCAAGGTGACTGTCTTGTAACATTGAAAGGTATCATATCACCTGTCTCGTAAGTCGTTTGTCAGGAGAGTTCGGACTGTCGCCCATTGATGTGGTAGCGGGACCTAAATTTGTGAATTTACATTCAGACATAACTTTGTCCAGATGGGTGATCTGTAGGTTGGACCGAGATTGTCCTGTAAATCTCCGTGACTGTTACAAAGTATGACCGACTGTCTCATTTGACCGTAGTGACCTAGACATGTATTAATCTACTTTTCATTCACTTGGCCTATGAGTCGAGAAGCATGAAATTCAAATTTAAAAAACCGGGGACAACTTGACTTGTATCGAGAGATAGTAAAATGAAAGTTTGAAAGTCAGATAACAGGATTAAACTTGAAGCTGTTGTGTATTTTAAACATCGGGAGTCCTGATGAATTTGAACCGAGGAACAGGATGAGATTTCAAGGATTTAAGCAGACGACAAACGGTCTATGCATGATGAACTTTCCGGTTGTGGTATATCATGGCGACACATATTTGAGTGCATTACTCTAGTGGTTTAATCAGCACAGAAAATACATTTGTTTATAAACCATTATACAACAGACCATGGCCACTGTCGGTAAGACTTCCATCATGTAATTTTCCATCTCACTTTATGTATAAATCTTCTGCAATATTCTTTTTCAAATTGTCGTAAATCGTTGATTTTAATTTAGTATTATCTTTTTAGTGTCTGTAATTCACCTGGACAACTTGCGTTATAATTTCAAATTTTAGGATGTTGTAAATATGTTTGATTTTGATTTTGATTAATATAATAATGAAATGTTTTCCGGTAAGAATCTGTTATAAATTTTCGAGATGATTTCATTTCACATTATGTATGTATGACAAGGCAAAAGTTGTAGAAAGTGAAAGTAGACAGTAAATGTGACAGACAGCCAGGTGATCTGGTGAATACATAATAATCAGTGTCAGCCGAGGGAAATAGGGACAGTGTTAAAATAGAGCCCTGAGGTATGCAGCAGGTTTTTGTCCAATAAATCTGTCACGCATTTATTACTGGCCAGCATGGATAAGGAAGACATTTTATAGGGATGTTTTTGTTTGGAATTGAAATTAACTATTGTTCAGGTCTCGGAAAGAAATACACATCATATATAATAGCATTCATTAATTATCATTAAATGAAATTATATTAATTTCTTAAAACTTGTAACTTCAGAACCGTTTAGTTGTAATCAGCATTGAAGTCTTTGTGATTTCCTTGTCCTTCTGAATAATTGGAAAGATCACATTTTGATGATAGGTAGTTCTGAAAATAACCTTTTTTCTTCAGAGTGAATTGGTTTTCTTTTAGATAGTTGCCAGGGTTAAGTCAAAGTTCCAGAAGGTGTTGCACAGTTATTTGTTTAACTAGCTCTGTGTAGTTTTGTCACAATCCGTTAACGATGTCATCAGCTCCATATATATATATATCACAATTTAATGAGAACGGCTTAGCTGTTTTTTGTTAGCAAACCACAATATATATCATGAGCATGGGAATAAAAAGTGTTGTGGCTTTTTTAGGAAGTGATTCAACACTAGCGAGTTGGCCCAAATGAATTATTTGTGAGTAACGATTGTTGGTATTTCGCATACATAAAATTACACGCATCCCCGCACCAAATGAGAGACTCACGGCTAGCAGGACTGTGGTGAAATAAATTCATCATTGTTTCCTAGCTTTATACTGTACAGTATTGTAATCACATGTAAATAATGTCAAATTCTCGGTACTTGGGTGTAGCGAACTACACATACACCATGGCTATAAGCTGTTTTATAAAAAAAAAAAAAAAATACACTAAGGTACAAAGTGGATACTGTGTTTGTCAGTCTGGTTTTAAAGTACACACATTCTAAGTTCCTAGTTTCTAAATAGCAGTTGAGTTCATTTTCCACTTGAGTGAGTTTTTATTAGATCTCGGATGCTGATACAATTGTTGGTGTTTGATATACTAAACCATGGTCTGCCGTCTGGCCCAGATTTTCAAAGCATGATTAGCTTAACAGTTAATTAACAAACATTACGATTTTTTTTTTTTAAATACAATATGAAAACAACGTAAGGTTTTTTGATTTTGTGTCTTTGGAGGGGATTTCAAATCCTTATACATGAAGTTTTAATTATTAATTCCAATTTTGTTTTCTCATTTGAAAATATATCGGATGAATGCTTAAATTCACCCTCAAGCTAACAATGGGCTTTAAACAACGATGCTATTGTGTAACGTCTTCTACTGTCACTGATTCTGAACTTAACGTGTCAAATGTAGATCTTAGTTAAATGCTGCATCACCTATTTCAAGTCTGCAAAGCAATATGTGTGTTTTCCTGTTTGTTTGGATAATTAATACCAAATTTTATAATATAATAACGAATAATGAACTTAAAACTGTGATACTATGTTTTTGAAATCTGGAAATATTATGATATGTAAAGTTTACAATATATCTGTGCATCACAATATTGTATTAATTTTAGCATGATTTGGCATTCCGTTATTATATCATTTTTGAGAGGTTTATGACTTTTCAAGTTTTTGTGTAGCATTGTTGCAAAAATTGTATATATATGATAATTCAGACACCTGTTGAAGTAGATAAGATTTGATAATGGATGTCAGAGATATTTACATTGACTTCAGTTACAATTCTTTAGTATCAAGATTGTACCCTAATAAACTACCCTACTGAGCGGATTATATATGTGGCCTCATGTTGATAAAATTCAGTACCATAATTACCCAAAAGAAGCGTCCGTTCTCCGTTAAGTGACTCTCTAATCTTTCGTTATATTTAGCCGCATTTCAGCTACGTGTTGATTTGTATGCAAAGTTTGAGAGAGACTAACTTGTATCTATACATGTTGAAACTAAATGGCTTGATATAATCACTTATCCTGTAGGGAAGAGATACACTATTTGTACAAAAAAAGAAAACTAACAATGCTTGGAGTCATTCATGATGATAACAGTGTACACAATGAAATTGTTCAGTGCATGATCAGCTTAACCATTCCCGAATGTAAACAAATCTAGCTTGTTTAGGATGGTAAGATAGATTGCTGATTTAATTATATGCTAACATAAATACAGGAAATATGATTTAAAGTATGTGGAGGTCGTATAAAAGCAGTGCCCAGTAGAATTTTTTTTTTAACTGTTTAGCTGGCGAATCTGTAGGTCTTTGAAAAAATCATTTAATGATGCGATTATTTCTGTTAGAACTTATAAAATATTGGAGAAGATAGAATGCATAAATTATTGAGTAGATAGATGTTTTTTGGACTACTTTCATTGGTAACTAGAGCCTAATGATTTTGTGGTTTTCTCATGTTAGTGGGAATAGAAATGATAATTTTAAGGTTAACAGGCTTGAATGATTGTCAAACAAATTATACAAGGATGGGTTCTTTACATCAAGGATACTTAATAGAAAATAATTGGTACATTCCGTGGACAGAAAAAATAAAATTGCGTTTATGCTGGAGCGAGAGGTTTTGTTCCGTTAGCATGTATATATACAGTAATAAAAGTTAGGAGACTCAGAATTTTCATAAATACATGTTAGTAAATGGGTGTGTTTTCATTGTTGGAAAGAATTCGCTGTGGAAAAGGGGGCATGTAGTGTATTTGTAAAATCTAGACAGAAATATGTTTAATACAGTACCGGAGGGTTAGAAACAGACTTACCCATTGTATGACTGACTTTCTGCAGGTAAGGAACCTCATATTTTAAGAAATGGACCTATTTTTATCTATTCATCAATTTTTGTCCTGTTTTACCTTTGTGTTAAAACAAACTCATCATTATGTGCTGTTTTCAATGGGATTTAGTGTTCGTGTTACTCCTGAAGATGATTGTGTTACGGAGCAACAGAAAAACGGTGTCAGTTGAATATTGGGACTTAATATTAAATATGATTTTCTAGAATCTTCATTTCAAACCTGTATAATTGAAAGACTAGCGTTCTTTATCATTCCTCTGAAATGGTTGGAATACTGACAAAAGTGAAAAATAAATCAAAATAAATGCTGTGGAAATGAAACATTTTTCCTATTACAGGTGTGTGTGATTTTAGTTATCAGTGATTCTCGTAACATTCTGTTAAGCAATGTTTTTTAAATCCCCCCTTTTTTTTTTTTTTTGGTCATTTCAGGTTCAACATACCTCAACACAAAAAACAACAACCCTGCTTCCTCGAGGGCGACCTCCCCGGCCACAGGTGCAGGTGGGTCTGGGATCCCCACTCCAGGGGGAAGGTCTCTGGTGAGTCCCCGTGGACAGGACAAGCAGCCACGGGCGGTCAGCTCGGGGAGCACGACCTCCACAAGCTCGACCGCTTCCAACAAAAGTACCTCCCACAAGGCCAGTGTCGCCAACAAAAACTCTATGTTGGACAAATTCAAATTTTTCAATTCCAAAGACAAAAGTAAAAGTAAGGGCGGTGTGCCCAAAAGTACGTCAAAGAGTAGCACGACAAGTACGAGTTCGTGTAGTGATCGAAGCGACGTCAGATCGACGACAAGCTCCGCGCGGAGCTCAAGTTCTACAGACCCCGGGGCTAGTAGTAGTACACCTTCTAATGACTCAGAACCACAAAGTCCCAAGCTCCCACCCAAAACAGGCAAATCCCTGGTGAAAGGGTTTGCGGGTCGCCGGGAGCTCGGTGGAGTTGGTACAGATGAGGTAGGGGCTAAATTGAGTAATCAAAGCCCCTCCGTTCCTCCTGTACCTCCTTCACACAGCTCACAGTCACATTCTTCCAGTAAAAAGGTCAGCGGAAAGTCGGACCGCCGTGAAACCAGATCGGCACAGGCTAGTCCTACACAGGGTAAGAAGGGTGCAACCAAGATAGGCAGCTTGATACCAAAGTCTTCATCGGGAAAATCATCGTCAAAATCATCGCCATCGAATGGTCCCACCAGCTCCCAGATTCCTACGCCCGCAAGTAGCATTCCTAAACCATCGACATCATTGGGCAAGTCTAGTAAATCTACCAAGGAGGAGAAGTCAAAACTACAAAGCAGGAGTCAGCATTCATCGCCATCGTCATCGTCCGCCACGTCATCATTGCCTCAAAAATCTCATCATGCCACTTCCTCTCCGAAATCTATGCAATACCAGTCTCAGGCTCAGCAGCCTTCCAACAGTATTAACCATTCAAAAGGCTCGTCACATCAACCAGAGGGGGGCAGTGACCAATCAAAGGTGAGCTCTCAGGAACCATCAGCGGATGACAAAATGCAGCATAGATCTAGATACACAGAAATTGAATACTCGGATGGAAGGATTGAACGAGTAGGTGACGGCCATTTTGCTAAGCCGAACAATTTATTAGTGTCCCCGAAAGTAAGTGGTGGCCATTTCCAGGGCAGTGATAGGACTCAGGAAGTGGGGGTTTCCGGGCAACAAAATATGATTCCTTCATCTCAGACGGTTAATGTGGTGAAGCCGACATGTTCGGTGGCTACCACTGCAACAACAGTGATGACCAAGTCTGACGGCAACACCCAGACTTCGTTATCTGTGTTAAATCGTGCAACACCTCCGCCACTCCCAAAAACAGAACCTCCACAGAAAAGCCACGCGAAGGACAAGGAATACAAGATATCGGGAAGCCAGAGTGGGTCGGGTCACTCCACCCCAGTGTCTGTGTCGGGGAGTGACTCCACCCCCTCTAGTCAGAGTGGCCCAAGTGGTACAGGCTCATCCTCCAGTGAAAGTGTGATATGCAATAAGTCGCTAAATGTGGACGATTTCTCGGGGTCGGAAAAAAGCAGTTCCAGTGCAACAAACTCTCCTAGGCTCGGAATGAAAGTGATACATTCTCAGTTACAAAGACCCGCTAATAACGTGGCCATCGTTCAACCCCGTCACGGGGAAAAGATTGAAACAACTTTTGATACTGAAATTCGAACAGAAACTGTGAATAAGGATAGCGACACATCTAAAAATAACCTTCGGGAAACGACATTTTCTGAAAAGTCGGAAAAAGATCCGACATTTGTGGATGATTCTGGTGAAGCAATGGATATTAAACCAATGCAGCCAATCATGAGAGCAATGCCTTATGGGTCGTCGGGATATTTACGTGGGTATGGGACGCCTGGGTCACCAGCTTCAGGAAAGATCTTCCATAACCCGGGTTACGCCACACCCACTACCGCGTATTATGCCCGGACGAGCAGTTTGGGTATCAATCGGCCACTCATAGGTGACCCCAATAAATATTACTCTGGATCTATTAAACGGACCCAGTCAACGGGCCAGAATAGTTCTATTGACACAGACTATAGCTCTGACTACGATACTTATGATTATGTGTCGGGGTACATGTCAGACGGCGACATTCTCAAGGGCAACAAAATGGGTGATGACATGACAAGTGGGTACCTGTCCGAGGGCGGAGCCTCACTGTATGCGCGACGACTTCAGCAGCGTTTCCGTGAGGGCATGCAGGCTGTCAAGGAATGCATGCAGAAAAGTACAGGGCTCATGGACGATGACAGGTAAGTGAAAGGAGAATTTGTTTTAAAGGTTGTGATCTTCACCTGTTTTTCACTCTATTTCTTTGATACAGTTCCAAATCTGATACTTTTATTTTCTGAGCACAAAAACTTTCATTGATTATATTTGTTTAAAAAAATATTGATGTCTTTATTACACTGGGGTTTGAAATCACTCTTAACCTTCTTCCAAACGTTTGCACAGTTGTCTTTCTTTGTTGGCCCCAGAACGTGAATCAACTCACGAGCGTAAGATTGTGGTTACGTCCATGTGTTGTAATAATATGAATTTCAACAAATAAGGGGAGACAACTTTGCCAGACTTAGTCAATATTTTATGTCTCTTCAATACTGCAACCACCAGAAAATAGCTGAAGATATTGATTGAGGGGAGATAACTCCTTCAGGCCTACTAAAAACTCAATGTAGACACCATAAGGGTATTTTTTTTTCGTTCCTCATTAGATTGGTTGAAGTTCCATAATATTACCCTCTGTGCATAATTGATGCAAGCCAGGAATTAAACAGACAAGAAATTTAAGGAATGTTGAAGGTGATTAGTGAAGAGCTACAGATATAATTAATGTAATTACAAACCAAACATCTGGACTGAATCATGGTATACGCGAAGACAGCCATGTTTTATATTATTTGTGGATGTAAAAGATCACTTTTATAGAGCTCGGCAAACTTAAACAGATATAGAATCCGACAATTTCCTCTTATGAAATTTTATTGATTTCTCACATGGTAATTCAGTCGGAACCATTTTTTTTTAAACGAACTCAAGCCACAAAAAGTCTGCCCCACGATTTCTAATTACAGTTTTGGCGTGTTCGTACATGCGAACTGCGTTAATTTTTCATGGCTGACTTCCAAGACGATCTAAACAGATCTGCATTTGAATCGGTCGATTTTCAAAGACTTGCCGTATTCCTGCCATTAACAACTGAAGCTGTGTGTGTGCATTGTCGGGGAAGAAGTGGACGCCATCTGAAGAAAACAATACAAATGTTTTCACGTGGTGAATCACTCGTGCAAAATTAGTCATCTCGCCGAGAGAGGAGAAAAAATCACGCTAACCTAGTTGATCTATGCCAACCATTTGTGTTGTATTACCTCGAGATCCATACTCGCAACAATTTTCACATTTATTTCAATAAGTTATAATTGAAAAAGACAGTGCCTATCTCCACAAAGCAAACAAGAGTTCCTTTTATTTTTACTGGTATCACATTTGACCAATTACTTCTCGTAAAGGGAAGAAAATTCTGTGTACTTTCGTGATGGGAAAAGCAAATCGTTAATTGCATTTTGTGTAAAAGATAATAAGTGCAAATGTCAATGCCATTATCTTGTTTATTTTAGCTTAGGATGAAATTAAGCTATTAGTTGAAATTCTAGCAGTGAGTAAATAAATGTTCATTCAGAATTGTAACCATGACAATTGCTGGTTGCTAGGTAACAATTCTTTTTGGGAATACAATTTTTTTGAAGGTCCGTTAAAAAAATCCAAAGGGTAAGTTAGTTGTTTATTGGATGAGGACAGTTTAAATCCACAGAAAAAAACATTCCATTTTTTTTGATTTTTTTTTTGAGAAAACAAATGCATACATTTTAAAGGAGTTTAAAACCCTCACATGAAAATTTCCAGTTTAATTGGAGATTAATTCCAGATGTATATATATCTATTTTGAAATTTTAAGCTTAAATCCTTTTTTAATTGCAATAGACTTAATACTTACTGGAGATGTGTACTTCTGTTGTAAAACAATATCTGAAATATCTCTTGTCTTTTTTTGTCTTTTTTCTCATAAAAAATCTACAGGCCTACAATTCGTCTACTTGAAACAATAAAGTGAAAGAGAGAAAAACAAGATGAGAATTAAAATACTCTCGAAATGAAAACAAATCACTGGCAAAGGTATTAAGTTTAACATTTTACTGCCTTTTCACATCTGTGTCTTAGCTATGCAGGTATATACCTTAGGTGTTAATTTCAAGGTGGTCGTATATACCTGAAAGAGAGTGCTTCTGATTAAACATGGCCCGTTAGAAAAAGTGAACTGCTTTTATACTGGGCGGGTGGTAGATTTTAATTCTGACAACAGGATAGTTAACATGAATACAATCAATAACAGCTTCCGGAGCATTTTGCAATGAACACCTCTGTGCTCACAATTTTTCTGAGCGTGCATGCCGGCGCATGGAAACATAAGGTTATCAACATATAGCTTGCACCACTGTACTGCAGTCACAAGCAAATCAATCACTCGCATGACCCAGATTTTTCTATTTAAACAATGCAGGTGTTTTACAAGGAGATAATATAATGCTAGAATCGAGATATAAAAAGGCGTTTTTTTTTTTTTTTTTTAAGTTTGTCATTTTAAGCAATGATTGTATTAAAAAAAATACGTTTTGTTTTCAAACTGTGAAATTTTTACTGAAATAAATCATATTTGAAGATGCCATGTGGATTTTCAACTGATTTACGTAGCTTTGTATCGGTAGTTGAATGGGAAATTTCCAAAGTTAAACCAACACTTGTTCTACCATACTGTTAAACCTACATGTAATATTCACCTCCAGTCGAGGGCTTGTCAAAATAGAAAGCTCCAGTTTAAACGATACACTGAGACCAAAGTAACATTTTTGAATAATTACATTAATTTCCTAATTGATCCAAACGAAATGTAATTTCCAATATTTTGATATCCCATGATATTTCATTCGACCTCAGTGATTGGGTTTCCGTGGGAGTATTATTTTCAAATAAATCTGTTGATTAAAATTAGATAGCCCTTAGATTGATCCCTGGCGAGAATCGGTTTTCAAGAAATGGGAAAGCTCTCACAGATTCGTCCAATCAAATTTGTATGTAAAATATGGAGATGTTGTAATCAATGGCAAATCAAATAGACATATAAAATTTCAAGATGCAAAGATTTCATAATTATCTTTTTTTTTAAATTATCCAATTTATTTCCAAAAATTAATTTTAACATATTGGTTTTAGTTTTTTTTTCTTCAAATGGAGTTGGTGCAGGAATAATTGTATTCCAAGTTATTCAAATTAAAAGTCAAATTACCTTTTTCAAATTATTTTCATTTTTCATTTGCAGAAGGCGTTTGCGACAGGATCACTATAGATTAAGCACACCTAAGCGTGCGCGTTATGTTCGGTTTGTACTTTCTATTTCGGGTATTCTGACATTCTCATTTATTTTATTTTTCCGAAATGGTGTTGGAATTTTCAATGGTTTCTTTTGGTGATGGTGTGACCGTGAACAGGGGCAAATATTGAAGGGAAATAACTCTAGCTTGAATACCTCTTTCCGTAATTCCCTTTTAAAATATTTACAGAAATCTTTTCTAAATAAATTAAATTTCAAATTTATTTAAAAAATGATCATGGAAAAAATATGTTCATACAATGCTAACGATCTACAATTTAACTACCGTTAAAATTCTATGTCAATTTAACAGACAATATCGATTCTGTCCGTTATTGCTGCCCCTGATGGTATGTACATTTCGTTTCCTTTATCATTGCTAGGATATTCAAGACATGCTTTTGGAGAATCTTTGAACATTTGTATTGTCAGCTTCAGTGCAGAGCTGATGTGATAAGCAATCCTATTAGGTACTGGTTTAAAAAACCCTGAAGGCAGCCGTTCCATTTGTGAATGGTAGCCTCTTCAATTCACCTAATGGATTTTTTTTTACAAATTAGAGAGGGAGAGAAATACAAATGAGATAATACAGATTATAACCATTTAAAATCATTAACAGACTGAAGAAATTTTAGTGTTCGGATGTCTGAGATAAAAGAAGAGTTTTTTTCTTAACCCTTCCTCCGAAGATTGGCATAAGAGTGCGCGTCACCTTCAGCTGTGGCGCAATGCTCCATCATATGTCGCCAGGAGTATCACTTGTTTTTTAATCTCGAATCCCCGCAGAAAACTAGTTTTACGGGTCTCTCACCATGAACGCTGACAATTCTTCACTTCAAGAAATTCGTTGGAGATCTTGAATCACAATTCATTTAGAATTCTTTGCCAAGTGGATTTTTTACTAAAAAATTTTTGTTAGATTAACAACAAATTCTGTTTTGAACATGATGATTTGATGGAATTTTGTATTAATACATTTTTGGAAGAAAAATTTGTCAAGAAAAATTTGAAAGACATCAATTTTGAAAACTTTTTAAAATAGGATGCATCAAGAACCTGAGTTAACTCATTCACCCCTGACATTTCATAATGAACTATTCTTACCTTTGAGTTGGAAGAGTTCAAATGTGTATTCAGGGGTGAATGAGTTAAGAGACCAACCTTTTCTGTTAGTCAACTGGTACGCAAAGACAGGTCCTTACAACGTATCTCTTTAAACATGAGAACCATCAAAGACATGTCCTTACAATGTATCTCTTTAAACATGAGAACCATCAAAGACAGGTCCTTACAACGTATCTCTTTAAACATGAGAACCATCAAAGACAGGTCCTTACAACATATCTCTTTAAACATGAGAACCATCAAAGACAGGTCCTTAAAATGTATCTCTTTAAAACATCAGATCCATCAAAGACAGGGTCTCATATTAGCTGACAGATAATGCACCAGAAGCTGTATTAAAAAACACCCCAGTCAGTTGTAAGTGGTCCTACATGACAGGTTTTCTAAATTTTCCTGATAAAACATCAACCCTGTATCAGAAGACCACCTTCCCTGTCAGTTGCAAGAGGTCCTACAAGGCAGGTGGTCCTCCACAACAGGTTATACGTGTGCAGTGCATGATCTTACAAAGCTGGCCTATTATAAAGGTTCTATCACAAACATGGTGGCCATCTTGATGGTAAAGGTCCAATAAATAGGCTGGTCCATTACATTTAGGTGGTCCATCTCAAAGACGGTCTGTGAATCTCAAGAAAGTAACAGTTACTATCAATGTTAACAAAAAACAACACAAATTTACAAGATTACAAGGACCCAGTTGGCCATCATTATCGGCCCTGCCACATCAATGAGCTTTATGATACTGAAGTGGGTAGAAAATAAGTTTGGTGGCTATTACTATAGTCCCATAGTAACTGTTGTAACTAATGACGGCAGAGGCTGTGAGGGTATATATATACTGGAGATCTGTAAGCCAGCCGAGATACTAATGGCCATATAACAGTATCATACAGTCCCGCACTATTTATAGAACATTATTTTGGTGCTGTCGAGGAATCAATGGTAGATTTCCTCCACCGATAGATGAGTTTTAATTTTCCTCATTTTACACCGCGGTTAAGTGTGCCAAAAACTCCAGGCGGGGTTATCTGTCGGGAGATAGGTATCTGCAGGTTGGATGTCTATTACATTAGCAGCGAAAAAAAGTGGCAGAATATTGTTCTAGTTCACAGTGTATAAAGACATGTAAACAAAAGATGTTTATAAGAAAGCGTATGGTATTGTGTGTTCGTTTTGCATAGACATCTGGATTTATAATACATGCAGGCATCATATAGCAGATTTTTGTAAAGGTAGGTGAAGTTTGGACTGCATGCCTCTTATACTTTTCAGTGCCGGTGGGATTTAAATTTTGTTTCAGAGTCGAAGACAGTTCAACAAGTGTAAATTAGTACGTAATTTATATCAAAACGAAGATAATCACAGCAGGAATGGTGTTATTGTAATGGTGTTATTGGTGTTATTGTAATGGTGTTATTGTAATGGTGTTTTGAATTTTATATGATTAATGAGTCGAAATAATAACTTCAATGTTTCTTCAGAGACCTTTCAGGGGAGATAACTAAAACGAAATATTTTTGTAGAAAGAAGGTCTTTGTAGACAGAAGATTACTTAAGAAACCTATTAGTTAATGAATTATACATTGATTATCTGTAAGGCAGGTTTGGTTTCAAACCTGCTGTGATAATATTTAGATATAAAGATCCCTTTACCCATGTCCAAAACTGCAACTATGACATGGAAATTGTTTTTTTTTTCCCCAGCATGACTATAGCTTTAATTCATCATTCCTGAAGAGAAAACCATACCTTGCTGGACATTTATAGTAAAACAATAGAGATGAAATAAACAAACAGAAATATATTTAAGATAGTGTTCTAAGTAAGGAAAATACGAAGGTGCAAGACCAGGATTTGAACCCTGGTCCTCAGATCAGCCACCTGGTCAACAGAAGTATCCTGGCCCAGTAGCACTACAGTTATATCTAAAATAAAGGAGGGAAAGATTTCTGTAAGTACATTGGAATACTGCAGTGTTTTGATGGGATGGGCTTCCAAAAGATATATGCTACCATACTGTGACATATATTTACTTCATACAAATATTCCTACAGTAGATTTAAGGCTGTATGCTATCTTCTTGTGACAGGCACCTCCATTAGGAAAGAGTTCAATAGCAAAGAAACTTTCCAATGACTTTTTAGACTTGGGTAATTGATGGCAAATTTGAATGTAACGCAGAAAACATACATGGAAAATGCTCCAAGAATATAGATTTGTCAGATAATGCAGATTAAACAGTATCGTTCAATTCACTGATCACACGCATAATGTGTTCAGGAGAATACACTGAAGCAGTCAGGACCATATCTCTGCGGGCTAATCTGAAATATGTACAGAAAATTGAAAACCAGTTGTTAAAGAGAGTAGATGTTTATGTTACAAAACGGCAGGTGGTTAAACATCTACCAAACAGCAGACTGTCTGATCATCTTTATATCGCTCAATATGTCTGGCCCCTAGGTGTGGGTCAGATTGATCTATAATTAGCCATTCAGCCTCAGCTCGACTTTAAAGACACTGGTAACAGTCAAGTTAATAGATCTTCAGCTCAGGAGAGCTCTTTTAGAGGGAGATAAATCTTCGCAGTATTCTTTTAATTAGTTTCTCCAATTTCAGTAGAACACCTCTCAAGATGATTGGCGTATTGGAATTAGTCCGTTCTCGTTATTGTCGATGAACTATTTTTCAGGAAAGCTCACAATGGAATATCGGGCGGGAAGCGATGTCGGAGATCGCGTCTCTCTGTGTGTAGATGTATTAGACCTTGGTAATATCATTATCTGGCTCTTTAAGGACATTTTGGGAAGACTGGGTTTTTTTCCGGTAACATCACTGTCTCCTCCTTGAAACCATCAATTCTACTATCAGCTGTGCGATTCTGTGATAAGGAATTTCTAGTATTGATGTTTGAACACGACTTGCTGCCTTTCACAAGAGACAACTTGTTATTTAAGCCCAGCATTCCTCTGTTCCAATTAAAAATAACAAGGAAAAATAGTTCTGGAAAGCTGCATCAAGATTGACCTAACATTTACCAAAGGTGCAAGTACAAATGATTAAGGCATATTTAATTTGCTACTTGAAAATTATTTTACAAAATTTGTGATTTTTTTTATTATTTATTGTGAACCAAGTTTCCACTAATCCTTTAATCTAACTATCCAGCCAGTTTTTTAAGAGATTTTCAATTTTTTATTCATTTTTTTTCCCCATTAAGCTATTTGTCTCAAAACTCAGCCACTTTTACTTCAAACGAAGGTGGCTGGATTGTCAAATTGGAGAGATCAAGAGAGGTTACTCCAATAGGGAGAGCTTCCAATGGTCTGTCCATTAGGAAGGGTAACCATGGAGAGACAGGTAGCAGTAAACCATGGTTGCACCATTCAGGAAAAATGACCATGGTCTCTGTATCAAGTAGATGTTACCATGGAAAATCAGCTAGGGGTTTCCATGATGGGTACAAAGTTAACTCATCCACCCTTGAAAATTCATAATGAACTCTTCCAACCTTTGAAATGGAAGAGTTCAAATGTGTGTTCAGGGGTGAATGAGTAATTAGTTTCTGTGTCTGAGGGAGGTAGTCGTGGAGTGTTGGATGGGATATCCCGATCACGGTTTAGTATTCCTGATGTTCCTGGTGGTTACAAGTTGTGGAATGTTGATTTTGGTATGCAGTCACAACAGGTCCTGATTGGGTGGTGTAAACTAATCACCCATCCTCCCATTGTCTATTATATTATTGGTATACATAGACATTGTATAATCCCCCCCCCCCAATATTTACTTACATTACAAGTAGACTTAACGAGCTAAGCCAAATCACCAACCGCTAGCTGCAATTACTGGTACACTCCATTAACAAGAAGATCTAGGTAGGTGTT